GTAGTCACTACCGGTAATTTTTTTTTACTACCGGTAGTCATTACCGGTAATTTTTCGGGGAATTAAAAAAATTTTAAACAAATTTTGATTGTAATTCCCGGAAAAATTACCGGTAATGACTACCGGTAGTGACTACCGGTAGTAAAAAAAAATTACCGGTAGTGACTACCGGTAGTACCGGAAAAATTACCGGTAGTAACTACCGGTAGTACCGGAAGAATTACCGGTAGTGACTACCGGTAGTCCCGGAAAAATTACCGGTAGTGACTACCGGTAGTGGCTACCGGTAGTAAATATTCCGGTAGCGGGAGCGGTAATGACTACCGGTAGTAACTACCGGGAACTTTTTCCCCTGGGATTGTATAATTAATTCCATACTTAATTTTTTTGATTAGTGTTGGTGTTAAGCTATATGAATTTGAGTGATCAAATGATGTGTAATATGTACAAATTTTCGCTATACATCCCCACCCTTTTTGGTTGAAATTATATCTACAGTTCAGTTGTGTCATAGCCACTGTTATGATACCATCGACAAATTTCGACGAGAATTTCTTTCTCGAGTCCGTTTTCAAACTTTATTATTATACTATGTCAGAGAAGAGTTTACGCGAGTTTAATAGTTTGTATAGAGGTGAATTATGTTAAATAAAGAACAAGTTAAATAAATTAATTGTGAGTGACTGGAACTTATTTATTTATGTGTTAGTGAACGTTCTTCCTACGATTTACTCCCATAAAGAAACAATTGGCGATCCTGCCAGGATACTCTACACAATTTAACAATTTAAATTGTTAATAATTTAACAAACTCAGTGAGTGTTCTTCAACAAATTGTGATTATTTATGGGAATTACTGTGAAGATTGAGAAATTTTCCTATTCGAAATAGCCACGAGACAGTGAGCATTTTAATTAAAGGTTGTTGGAAGGTTATCTCATTCCTTTCAAGGCGTTCAAAAATAAACAGTGCGCCTGAAGAGTGTGCCTAATAACACATTTTAATTTTCGAATTAATATTTAGTTGTCATGAGAGTATACTTTATCATACGACGATGCCGAATAACGTCGTATCTAATAAATGATGCTTGGAATGAATCACTCATCGTCTCTCTCTCTCTCTACGCACACCTGTTTGTTGAGTACTCACACGTTTATCTGTCATTTGGTTCTCTTATACCATTTCACAGAGCCCTGTGCCTTAACTATTTGAAACTTTAATGTCACTCAAGAGTGAAAAACATTCTTCTCCTGACTCAAATTTAAACAGTTTTGAAGATAGTTTTTCGCGTTTGTTCTCTTCCTCTATCGACGAAACAGTATTTGAAAATAAAGTTAAAATGTCAGCCCACGAACCTGCCCTCGAGGACCTTCTAGTGGAGCAGCTAGAACATTTCGAAACCCTGCGACGCAGTTTTGATACAATGGAGGTAATACTGAGAGATCCCGTAGTGACTTCTCTTCCAAAACTCTCTTCCCGTTTGGACAACATTCAGGCTGTATGGCCCAAGTGTGTGGAAGTTCAAATTTCTCTCAAGCAAATATCAACTCCAGAAGATCGAAAGCTGATACCTTATTTCAAGGAAAAGCAGTTTGCGACAATAGAAGATATCTACTTGGATCTGGTTGGGGAGTCCCCTGAGAAACAATTGAGTGTGCCTCGTCTTGAGCTCTGTAGTGCAGTTCTATTGGCACGATTGATGAAACAACTACTTGCCTTATCTGAATTCAATTCGTTTCAATCATATTGCTGGACTGATTCATCCATAGTCAGAGCATGGTTGAAATTACCCTCATCTCATTGGAAAACATTTGTTGCCAATAGAGTATCAGAGATTCATACACTCATTCCTGATATTCCATGGCTCCATGTTCCTGGCTCTGAAAATCCCGCTGATTTGGCAACCCGAGGATTAAAACCCGAGGACATTCTCTCTAATCATCTGTGGTGGAGAGGTCCTCCGTGGCTCTCGCTTGATTTCAATTCGTGGCCATCGGAGGAACCTTTAGTACCAAATGATGCTCCTTTGGAAGAAAAAACACCTAAGGTATGTGTGGCAAATTTAGTTATCAATTCAGAAAATGAATTCGAGATTGCCCAACGGTTTTCCTCGTGGCCACGTCTCTTGCGAGTGACTGCTCTCATTCTTCGATGGTTACCATCCAGAAGAGAAATCAGGGATGGTGCAGTTTCATTGATTCCAGATCCTGAAGAGATTAAATTCGCATCTATTCGGTGGATTTCTCTTATACAATCTCGTTATTTTCCGGACGAGATCAAGACTCTTTGCAAAAATGAACCTGATTCTGATGGCTTCAAATCTCTTAAGGTAGATCAAACGTTCAAATGTGATAGCCAACTTCGTCGACTCAATCCCATCCTTGATCCTGATGGACTTTTACGCGTAGGTGGGAGACTGTCCTTGAGTCGTTTAGATCCTGCGGCAAAATTCCCCTATATTTTGAAGGCTGATTCAATTTCACGCCTTATTATTTTGGATGCCCATCAACGTTGTTTACATGGTGGAATCACTCTTACATTGAGTACTCTCCGAAATAATTATTGGATTTTACAAGCTCGTAAGGTGATAAAATCTATTATCTTTCACTGTGTGACCTGTTCCCGAATAAAGGCCGAGATACCGGTCCAACTCATGAGTCCACTGCCTTCAGCTAGGGTTGAGAATCCGGGCTTTCCATTTACGAATTGTGGGGTTGATTACGCCGGACCTATTAGTGTTCGCATGGGGGGCGGTCGTGGTATTCGCTCACGACCAGCATGGATAGCGGTGTTTATTTGTCTCGCAACTAAGGCTGTGCATTTAGAGGTGGTTTCCGAATATTCGACGGCTGCATTCTTGGCCGCGTTTGATCGTTTCTGTTCGCGTCGAAACAAGCCTTCCAAAATGCATAGTGATCGGGGAACTAATTTTCAGGGCGCGGACAAGGAGTTGCGTCAGGCATTCCGTGAGTTGAGGTCAGATCCTAGTGTTCAAGCGCGACTAGCCAATGACGGAATCGCGTGGCAGTTTATTCCGCCTGCAGCGCCACATTTCGGTGGTTTGTGGGAGGCAGGTGTCAAGAGTATGAAACATCATCTTATTCGAATACTTGGTGCTCATACGCCCACCTTTGAAGAGCTTTCAACATTAGTATGCCGCATTGAAGCTTGTATGAATTCTAGACCAATAGGTCCGATTAACGATGATGTGGAAAGTCTTGACACTCTTACTCCGGGACATTTTCTTGTCTATCGCAATTTTACTTCTGTTCCGAGACCGAGTTTAGATAATATACCTGAAAATCGTTTGTCGCGCTGGCAACTAATGCGTCAACTCCTTGAACAATTCTGGCGAGAATGGTCAAATGATTATATTAGATCTTGTCAACATAGGACTAAATGGCAAAACAGAACAACCTCGTTAAAGGTTGGTCAAATTGTATTACTACGAAACGATAATCTTCCACCAACTAAGTGGAATCTGGGTCGAATCACACGCTGTCATCCTGGATCTGACGGTTTAACGCGTGTAGTTTCAGTCAAAACGGCGACGTCGGAATATACTCGCCCTATCTCGAAATTAGCTCTTCTTCCAATAAATATCGATGAATAGTTACCGTCAGATTTCTGTTTGAAGGCCTGTCTTTAAACCTTTACGGGTGACCAAAAAAAAAAAAAATTTATTTTTGTATGCCTACTTGATTTGGTTTATATTACGCTGTATACATCGCAAGGCGGGCGGTATGTTAAGCTATATGAATTTGAGTGATCAAATGATGTGTAATATGTACAAATTTTCGCTATACATCCCCACCCTTTTTGGTTGAAATTATATCTACAGTTCAGTTGTGTCATAGCCACTGTTATGATACCATCGACAAATTTCGACGAGAATTTCTTTCTCGAGTCCGTTTTCAAACTTTATTATTATACTATGTCAGAGAAGAGTTTACGCGAGTTTAATAGTTTGTATAGAGGTGAATTATGTTAAATAAAGAACAAGTTAAATAAATTAATTGTGAGTGACTGGAACTTATTTATTTATGTGTTAGTGAACGTTCTTCCTACGAATTACTTCCATAAAGAAACAGTTGGTGTTACTACATATTTGAAGTTGGGTCGACTTTGGGATAATTATTTGTCAGGCTAGAATTGTGCATTCTTCTGTTTTTGTTTTGTTACAAGTTTTTGTTGCTTACTGATTCATTACAACTGATTATAAGCCTGTAGTACATTTTTCACTGATTGCTTATTTTTGACACAAAATATAGGGTAATTCCCAGGAAAACTCTTATGGCCCTGGCAAGTTCATCCGTAAGTAGGGCAAATCCTTGCAAAACCGTTTCAAGCCATTACTAGGGCCTTATCAGTTTGCCATGTCAGGCCCTTGCCAGAATCCAGGCGTACTGGGAAGGGCCTTGAGGGGCCCAGACTATAATTTCTGCACGGGCGACTATTAAAATTAAAAGTGGAAAAACTTTTTTTATTCTATTAAAAACAATTTCATTAAAAATTATGAAAAAGTTTAATGTAAAATAAAATTTTGTTTTATAACGTTATTTTCAGAACGTCACTCAAGTTAAATGTTGTACATAATTACACAAATCATGAAATTATTACAATGAATGAGAAATAACTGTATATTTATCAAAGGGAATTCATTTAATTTCATTATTTTTATTTATTTATATTATGCATAATTATTCAATACGATTTTTGGAAATAAATGTATTATGTTGCTTTTGTATTTTTACGTACGTCAATATTACTTGTCTGTTTAATTATTATTATTAGTATTATTATTCTATAATACTGTTTCATTATTAAAAACTTAATTAATTTTTTTTTTCGTAAGTAAAAAAGATTTATCGAGTCTTTAATTAGATGCATTTTTAATAATCGTCATATATGACATAAAGATTATTTTGGAAGTGAAATAAAAGTTTGGCTTATTTTGATGATGGATTAAAAAAAGAAACACGTGGTTTATGCTAATTTACCTCTTTGAGGGAAGTTGGCAGATCCAGGGCTGATACGATTCAAAGAACTGACCACCTCGCTAGAGGGATGATGGTCCAGGGTTTGAATTCCCGGAGACGGTCTCCAAAAAGGCCATCCTGGACCACCTGGTAAAACACCCCGCATTCCATCTGCATCCGTTATATCCGATTGTCCAGCAACAACCGCATTACTTAACGCAGTGGATGCTGCTGTTAATCTAGAATGATGTTGTTGCTGATGAAGGTGCTGAAATGCCGGTGGGAAAAATACACTACCAACTCCCGCAATATTAACTGGATATCGACCCGTAATTATCGATGACATTAAACCTATCCTGAAACATAAAAAGCATTAAAGCATTAATTATCAGAAACAGAAATTTTTTTCTACAAAAAAATTTAAAAAAATTATACTTCATATTTAATATGCATATTAAATATTAATAAGTTTATATGCACTTGTTTTTGTACGTGGACGAGTTTTGACATATTCAGATTTGGAGAGTGAAAGGAAAAAATTCACATTCTATTATCTTCAATTAGCATTAATTTTCCAATAACCTTAATTTTTAACGAATATCATTATAATAAGTTTGTGGTCTTTGGTTAATTAAAAAAATTTTTTTTTTTTGTATGTTGGAAAAGTAGGAAATTGTTTTTGTGAATTGATTGTCATGAATGTGGAAAAGCGCGACGCTGTATAAATGGCCGTTGTGTATTCAGGGGAGCTTTTATTGTTTTTGATGAATAGAGTAAAGAGTCAATAACACACAATGAAATTTAGACAATACAAACTAGACACTGGTCAAGCACGACAGACTATAGAGACTACTCACGGATTTCAAATACACGTTCCAAATTTGCAAAGCATTTCTCTCCGTTTGCGTATATATGGGTAATTTGTTTCTCACAAAGCTAGTGTATCACAAGAGATCAATCAGGCAAAATTTTTAGGATAAATGATTGTTCTATTGGTTTTTGTTAGCTGACGTTCACGCAATATGTATTCGATTATAGGAATAAAACTTTTCACGCACAGTTTTTATTTATCAATGCAGAAAAAAATTTAACAAAAAGAATATAGTTTATTTATAATGGTCATGAAAAATTTATTTTTTTTTTAATGATGGTTTAAGCGTAATATTTATAGTTCTAAATATGTGACGTTCTGAAGACTTAAATATCAATGAGAGTAGATCCTCTTTTGTGTATTTTTACATCGAAATTTTAAAACTTTTTTCTTAACTGATTCCTTTTTTTAGAGGGCGTCACGTATATATGAATCAATGAATTTTATTAATTTGTTAATTATCATACTTATTATATAATATCGTATAAACGCTGATTGGAATAAAGTGATGATATACATATATCATTAATTTAATGTCAAACTTAGAAGGATTGTAGGGATTAGTTTAAATCTTGTAAATTAAAGTTTTCGTTGATTCATTCAACTTTAATCAATTTCCAAGCTTTCCTAACAAGTTTATTGTAAAATTGTAAGATTTCTGTTCTTTATTCTGTTCTTCTTCTTTCTATGGTATTAAACGCAGGTCGAGCAAAAATGTATCAAGTTACCCAATAAAGAATGACAGTCAAACATAACAGGATTCTGTTAGGCTATTACTTTAATCAAGTGTATAATCATTTAATCACATTTTAGATCAATTCACTGTAAACATTTTTATTTTTATTTTCTAATAATTTCAGTTCTTCTCATAATTTTTAATTTGGAGCTCGCAAAAAGAAGGCAAAGAAATCGTTTTTAAATAAATTTTTTCTGATTGCACCTAAAAAAAAATGGTTATAAGGATGGTTAATTTTGGTTATATACTCTCTAAATCTGAATTAGTCACTTTTGAATCATTCAACTGCGCCGATTCATTCATTAAATGAATTAGTAAACCGATTTGATTAATTCTTAGTTAAAAATGACTAATTGTTAGTAGAAAACTACTAATTCATTTATTAAAGTTTACTAATTGAAATAGAAGCCTTACTATAAATGAATTAGTAGTTTTCTGCTAACAATTAGTCAACGGTTACTAATTCATTTAATGAACGAATCGGCGCAGTTGAATTAGTCAAAAGTGACTAATTCAGATTTAGCAGGAGAGTAGACAACAGTAGATACAGTTGATCATTTTAGCTTTCTAGAAAATGATTTTAAAAAACTCTACCAAATTGTAAATATAAATCACTAATAGTTTAATTATAAGAGATGCTTTTATTTTGTCCAAATGATATAATAATCAAAACAGCAAAGAAACATAATAAAAATGAAATGTTTTGTCTCTGCTATTAAATTTCGATTACAATGTTGTAAAGCTTCGCGATGAAAAAGAAATTAGTAAATAATGACTCTTACAACTAGTATTATAAGGTTTAACGGATTTTCCCTATTGAAGTGCAACGGTTATAGTGAATTGCATCCATGATTCGAGGTGATGATTGCTCGATTGAAAATGTAGGTAGCTAGGTGGGTCGGTATAGGGAAGGCTCAATATCCAGGCAATGATGGAGGGTGGTGGTAGGGGCTTCGGAAGCCATACTACTTTCCCCACGTATATAGTAGTACTTGGTTCCTTCTTTCCCGTGTGTCGTCTATAACAGACAAAGTACTAGTCTGCGATGGACGATTCGATTTCGTTTTCGATGCTCTCTTCAATATATATTTTCGCATCCTTGCTTGCTTATCAGCTTGTTTTCACCCTGACGAAAAAAAAATTGAGCAACCAACTGGAGTGTATTTAAAAGTGCGAAAAGGAAAGAAAAGAAGAAAAAATCAGAGGTGTGATGGAAAATATGAAAAGAAGAAGACGCTCTATACTCTAAATGGAAGACGATGCCAGAAGAATGTTGACACGAGAAATGAATTAAGAGAGCTTTATTTCTCATCTTTTCTCTATTCATTGACGCGATATTGTATTTTAGGGAGATGAGAAGTTTTTTGAGAGCAGAAGAAAAGAAGACGATGGCGCCTTCTTGATGGAAGGGATAAACGGTGATGCAAGAGGTTTCAACAAACAGATGCCCCCCAAAAGATAAAAAGAAATCTGACAATCGTCTGTTTGTAAGCAGCCGAAACCTCTGAAGCAGGTATAAACACCAAACAGCTTCAGTTCTGCTCCTTTAACAGTCTTGATTCTTTATTGCTTCGAAGCCGGTCACGAGGTACATTTTCGGCAAAACTACTTCTCTTAGCGTGCCTTGTTGATCTTCAAGATTTAAAAAGTGCTTCCAGTTTCGTTTTAAAGAACATATTTTCAATCCAATAGGCGCTTGAGTGCCTCTTATATTATATACTCAAAAGTGATATATATATGTCTTCTCGAATTCTTCTTTTTGATTCACGACATTTTTCTACTTTCATTTAATTGGTTTACAATTTTTTGATAGACTCTTCTGTTTATTGTAATACACAAAATTAATTTTTATCACTTACATTTTGTTGTATACATAAATAAATATTTTCAAGAAAATTGCTCGAAGAACTCACAGCAGAATAGTTGCATATGCCTTTTCTAATTGCACAAAACTATCCTACACACTGTAAAAAGAAAGACTTATTTTAAGGCCGAAAAGAGGTCTTTTTTTTAAGAGGCAACATTTTTAAGGCAGCTTTGCTGAATTTACGCAATGCAATTTCCATTATAATTACTAGCGCTGATTTTAAGACTCATCTTAAAATAAAATTTTCTTTTTACTGTGTAAAGAAAACACCTACTGAATATTAAAATTAATAATTTTTAAAATTTTTCTAGTAAAATCTAGGCCTACAATTACAATAAAATAAAATTATGCGTTACGAGATCTTTATATTAATTTATTCTCAAAAATTTAATTTCTCGTAATTTAGGGCAGTTTTTAGAAATTTAAAAAAAAATTGAAACATGATGAAACATTTCTGCTTTGGATTATTAAAATTGTTGGTGCAAAAATACAGTAAAATATGGTTCTGTTTTAACTGTTTTAAGAGACAATCTATTATTTCAATTTTTTACATTTAAAATTTTATTTTTTTTATTCGAGGATAGTTATTAGCTATATTAAAAAATAAATATAAAAAGTGATACAAAAATTCTGACTCTTTGAAAAATTGTTTTCCCAATTGGATTTAATTGCTTACTTTAAATACGATTTTTGTTAAAACACTCCCGCAATTATTTTTATCAGAGAAATATTTTGTTCAGTTTTGTTTTAAATACTTCACTTATTTACCTTTATTTTTTTTTTATAAAAAAAAAGTTTCCACCGCATTTTCAATTTTTTTTTTAATGAATATTTATTTCAACTTTTTAAAAAAATTATTTCAATATGTTTGAATGATTCCCGTATATAATCATCCGAAAACACGCGCCCGAATGGACACTCACCCAAATAACTGCGAATATACTGAGCGTATATACCGTTTGACTAATTATTTTTAACCTACTTAAATAATTATTTCAATTTTTTCAAATAATTATTTTTTTAAATTAAAAAATCACGGAATTAGTTATCGTAAGTTTGGTTAAAATTTAAAAAAAAATATAAAGATAATTTTTTTTTTTCAATTATAAGTAATTGTTTATATATAATTAATAATTATACTAATAATTATTTCTATACATTACTGAAGCAAAGGTGTCGATAACTAGAGCATTTAATTTCAATATTTTTTATATTAATTATACAGTTATTTGAGGCAAGAAATTTTGAAAAATATAAAGATCACAAAAATTCTATTATTATTATAAAAATTTAAAAAAAATATATACAGAAAATAATTTTTAAATATCTGTAAAATATGAAAACCGAGATATAATCGTTGCGAATGAATTTTATTTTACATCGAGTTGTTAATGAGTTTGTGTCGATTTAAATAATTTATAGAAAAATTGTATACACGCTCCGAGCAAAAAGTGTAAATAATAATGTTTATATTGAAAAGTCATTAAAATTAATTTGTTTGTCCAAAATGAAGAGAGCGATTGTTCGTAAGCATCAATCGTAATATATATATATATATATATAAAATTTGCTAACGATTGGTGTAAATCTCTCTATCTCTTTCTCTCTCTATGGTTTTAGCACGTTGGTGAGCAATTGTAATTCTCTACTATCGCACACACTTGATATGCGTTCGTTAACCATCGTGCACAAGCAACTTGATACCTTTTGTTGTGCATCGTTACATAAGGGTTAGTTAGTGTTAGTACGAACATAGAAAGTGGTCGATTGCGCTCAGTGGTTTATATATACCTATATATATGCGTCGTGTATAATTGAAGCCTTAGGGTAGAGAACTAGTAAAGATGCTGTCGTGTTGGTACGACTAACTCGTTATGACGAC